GTCTGTCTGAAACACAACACAGAAATAATCATGGACTGGCTAAGTGATACACAATTACCCAACCTTACATGCTTCTTAGTATCCCAAGTTTCTTACTTGGGTCGCGTACAGATCCAGTGTTTTCAGTAGTATGGGCCTAATAATACCTTCCACACCAATCCGTAGTTGTCCCAAGTCCTCCTCCCTGGATCCTAATTCACAAGTACTCTATCCATCATGGATATCTAACTACTCTCTCAACAGACTTCTCAAAATGAACATCTAGGTATCCCTCCTAGATTACTCATCAAATCAAATATATCTCTTAAAGATTTCCTGCCATGTACCCCTACTCAGCATACACACAGAGCAAATAGCAGATAATGCCAATCAATAACATCCTCCTAGGCTAAGGCATAAGGAATCAGGTAACTCTAGCTCTAAATTCCAGAAATACCTAGCCTACCATCTAGCATGGAGCTTTAATATCTCAAAAGTATCTCATCTCATAATATAAACAAGTAATGGTATTTTGGGAAATCACCGTTATGGCTCTGGCTTATTGTACCCACTGCTTCGTCTTGTTTTCTCGTAAAATCTTTTGATCGTTTAGAAAATCATTTCTTTCAGAAAAAATTTCAAATCCACATCTTGGGTTCACACATACTTGAGGGTACATCTGAATCCCTTAAACCAAGGCTCTAATACCAACTTGTAACACTCTAATTTTTCAAATAAATTTTTCATTTTAAATTCCACACAAAATACAGTTTAACATCTCTCATACTCAATTTATAAATGTTTCAAACACAAGACATGAAAATCATTTGTCAAATATCCTAGAATCCTCAAAACACAAATCAACCAGCTGGTGTGTACAATCATGACGACACCTTCCCACGATCCTGAGATGTGCATGAAGCACATATCACACAACACTATAAGCACGAAGCTTAATGAGTTCCCCAAAATACCACACACATATAATTAGCCTCTCATGGCTATATCTCGATAAGGACCCACCGGTCATGTATCTCAGTGAAGACCCTCCGGTCTCACAGCTCAAGTTGGACCCTCCACTCTTGTATCTCAGTGAAGACCCTCCGGTCTAATGACTCGGGTTGGACCCTCTGGCCCTATCTCAATAATGCATAGAATAATATACAACAAGAATCACAAAGACAAAATGCATACTATCAAATATCTCAATATAGGCACATAAGACCCTCCGATCAGTAACACAAATAAGACCCTCCGGTCGCACAATAATTACCACTCAAGTAAGTATAGTGAGAAGATTCACCTCATAAGTAAAGCAAAGTATGTCTCGCACTCATATTATCGGTCTAGAATCTGCCTATCATACATCGCAATCATATCTAATTAATGATTGATATCAACAACCCCCAAATATGTTAGGCGAATTCCTCTATAAAATCTCAGAAGGGTAAAAGACCATTTTATCCCTTCATGGCCTCCAAAGTCCATAACTTGACCAAACCCCAAAAGTCAATGGAAATCGACACTTAAGTCAACAGTCCATGTTGACTTAACTCATCGAGTGCATTTATGCGACTCGTCGAGTTCCTTCTGATCTTCGAAAACCGGGAAAGTTCGAGTCAACTCACCGAGTTGTCTCGCCAACTCGTCGATCTTGCACAATGTCCAGAATATCGGGTAAAACCCTAACCAACTCGTCGATTTCCTTCAGCCCTTTTCTCATTTAGATGCTTTTAAGCGAACCCAAGACTCCAAACTATAGATATAGTCTTTTAGGGATGAGATACTGCGTAAAGTTGCAAGCTTTACGTCCATGCATGGCTTCAAGGGGTTAATATTTCCAAAACAAGGCTTAATAAGGGGTTTAAGGCATGGAATTTAGCCAAAGCTTGATAAATCTTGAGTCCTTAGGCCTTAGGGGACTAGTAGTGTCCAGATCCAATGTCTTAGCTTCAAAGCATCCTCAAAATCAAGAATGACTCAAGAAGAAGCTAGAAATGGCCAAAAACTCTCTAATGAGGAGATCTAACAAACAAGTGATCAAGGTAATGACTTTTTACCTTCAAATAGTTGCTACAACGGAATGGATGCCAGAGCTATGGACTCCTTCTCATTCCAAGCTCTTAGATCTTCGAGTTTCTCCAAGTAATGCACCAAAACACACACTCTTAGCCTTACCCACTCTCAAAATGGAAGGTAGCCCGATTAGGGTTTGTCTCTAGGTGATTTGGTGATAAGGGAGGCTGGGTAGTGGACTTAAGGTCCTTTAAATAGGGTGCAAACCCTAAAAATTTGGGTTTTCACACTCAACTCCAACTCGTCGAGTTGAGTCCTCCAACTCATCGAGTTGGTTCTAAAGTTCACGCGGCCATCTCAGTCCCTACTTAACGAGTTGAGGCCTCCAACTCATCGAGTTTCCCTATGAATATGAATATAAAACAATTAAAGTTTATACCTAGAAGTCGGGATGTTACAAGAAGAGAAGACAGGAGTACAAGGAAGAGTTAGATGCTAGGATATTATTTAATGTAATCCTTGCTGCTCATGTAATAGATAGATTTTTATTGTAAACCCGTGATTTTTCCTACGAAGTAGAAAGTTTTAATTTGTTTAGAATTCCTCATTGTACGTAAAACTCTTATATATCACATAGATTAGATGTGTAGAAGATCTGGGTCGTTACAGTTAGGTTGTGTCCTTTTGGATTTGATATTGTTTCCATGCGCTATCCATTAGTACAACCAAGAAGTGATATTTTATTTTTTAAGATGTCCACAACAACATTTTAACAGTATAGAACCAAACCCTAGGTTGATTTCTATAAATAAAAAGGAAATATTATACCTCTCAACCTTCACATTGATTTTCTAACTTTAAATATGTACTCCTTTTTCAATCAACACTTCCAACTCTCCTTCGACATCTCAAAATTGTTATTTCCATCCTATTTCTCTCTTAACTATTTATATGATGCAAATGAAGGGATGAAAAGAGTATTTTCCTTATATATTTTAGACCACTTAACTCATTTAACTATCTGATTCTGATTCTCTTGTTTTAGCCTCTGTATAAAAATGTTTCTAATGGTACTTTTGAGGTTTAGAATTTTGTCCTAATCCACAAACATTCTATAAATAAATCCTTAACAATTCCATTTCGGTCTAGAAGTTTAACAAACTTGTCAAATTTAAGTATCCTTAATTATTTTCTCTTTTAAAATCAATTTGAATCTCTTCATTTAAATATTTAATCTAAACACTTTAATAACTCATTTATTATTTCTTGCAAATAAATATCTTTGGACTAAAGTTGATTAAGTGTCTGGACTAAGGTAGGCTATAGACTAGTAGAACCATACATAGGCTCAATTTAAGTTAGCAAAACATCTCGACTGAGTAAACTCCAACAACTTCATAATCATGTGTAAGAATTTGAAAAAGGAAATATAATAAATTCTCAAACTACCCAAGATTACCTTTATTTCAAAACCTTTCGTATGGGCCAATTGGAAGATTTAGGTCACCTCCTCTTTTTCCTAATCTTTATTCAAATAATAAGTTAGTCCGGTTTGTTAGATAGTAAGTAGGTAAGAGAGGGTATTGGTCTACTTTCGGATGGTTAACGACATCCTATCACTAGAGTTTTAGCTTTTCAGATATAAATGTTATGCACAAACTTATCAACCACAACCTTCTAAGGGTCAATACGATTTATGTTTTCCCCTACCGATAACCCAAGATAAAATAACCAGAAGGTGAATAACAAAACATCCAATAATTTCTACAAACTCCACAACCTGAGAAAAGTTCACCAACTCCATTTAACTTGCTTTTTTACAAGTTACTTTTCATATTGGATACCATATAGAACAATGTAAAATACATTTCTCTAACATCCACTTACACAACATAATGCCATTACTCTACATAAAAGAAGTAAGAAATCATTATAGCCATATTACTTACACAAACTTCCCATACGCAATTATTACTTACACAAACTCCCCCTATATCTATAATGAACTCAAACAAAGATAGGTTCTCCTTAATGTTCGTTAGTCAGGAGTATTAACCAAAACAAAATCTCTTGAAGAAAATAAGAGTCGCTTTGACCCAACTACACAAGTTGGATCTAAAATATCACCAACAATTTTATATCGGCATGCAATTAGACTAATCAAACAATAGTCCTCGATGAACTTCGAGTTTCGGATCTCATATGAAATTAAGGGTTGCACACTTTTATAATGACAAAATCGGTTTAAAACTGCCTAACAAGGTTCACTACATCCTCGTGAACCACCTCCCAACATCTTTAAAAAAATGTAAACCCATAATGTTCTAATGCTTTATCGACCCCACAATCCTAGATAGTTTTATTTATCTTTTTTTTAACAGACAAATATAATCTACTCTTAAACTACCACCAAATTTCATCTAAGTCTACGACGAAACTTGAACCATCGGCCTCAAAAATGAAAAACATCACCTGATGCCGCTAAGCTAGAAACTCACTACAAAAGAAATGCAGCTCAATAAAAGAAGGTTGCTAAAAATGAGATGATTAAATTCCCCCTGGAATAATAGAAGATCGATAACCTTGAGAAAAATGTATACAAAATTGAAAATTAATAGAAGTCTTATTTCAGACTAGAGTAGCGTCCATTCGCCATCTACCATGATGCCATACTTGCAATTAATTTGTTATATTTGTTCGATTGGGTTGTCGATTCATGATGAACTAAAAATTTTATGGTAAAATCACAATTCTAATATGTCCAGTCAATTACACATAATGCATTAATAAACAAATGATAAAAGTTTAATTTCGCCATGGTATACTAGTGTATATGTAGGTACTTTAAAAAAAAAATGTTAAAATAATTATTGTAGTTATTATCTTTATGACTTAGATTAATTTTCTTTTATTATCGTACTAGATTCTAACTTCATGGGCCAAATTCCTTTATATATTTGGGCTGTGGTAAGCACATTAAGCCCATAATTTTAAAAACTATGTCAGTTAGGGCTCCATAATTTACCTAAGTTCTAAAATTTAATCTTTCTCTCTCGACAACGAACATATCGAGCTTTCAGACTCTACAGAAATGGAGTACGTGAGCCCCGAAGGACTCCGTTTGGATGGACGTCGTCCCCTGGAGGTGCCGAGCTTTCTCTCAATTCTCTAAGTCTCATCTCATTCTACTTTACTTTATCGAATTTCGATTTATAATTTATGTTCGTTTGCTTGGTTTTGATCACAGATGAGACAGCTTCGAGCAGAATTAGGAGCTGTTTCCAGAGCTGACGGGTAGGATTTCTGTATTTATTAGTTCTACATTTTCAGAAGACGAGAGTAACACTATTCGTGAAAATTCGAGTGGCTTTTGGTTAACTTTGGCTAAAAATTCTTAAGTTTTGATGATGGCAGGTCCGCAGTTTTTGAGATGGGTAACACCAAAGTCATCGCTGCAGTTTATGGTCCTCGAGAGGTACCTTTCTGAATTGATTTTCTATTTGTTTTCTTCACCAAAGCTTGAAACGATTCTCAACTTGAGATGTAATGACGATAGAAGTATTAACAGTGCTTGACTTTGCTAATCATCATCTAAAAGCACTCAAATTTCTTTTCTCCAGGTCCAACAAAGAAGCCAGCAATTGAATGACAAAGCACTGATAAGATGCGAGTATACCATGGCTAATTTCAGTACAGGAGATCGAATGAGAAAACCAAAGGGTGACAGGTATCTTTTAGAACATTAAAAGTTGATTATGATGTTTGTAATTAAATTATTGACTATGAATAAATGCATAACAATACAGGAGATCCACTGAGATTTCTTTAGTTATTCGTCAAACAATGGAAGCATGTATACTGACACACCTAATGCCCCGTTCGCAAATTGACATTTTTGTCCAAGTTCTTCAAGCAGATGGAGGTAAGTGAATACTAAAGGACTGATTAGTCATTTCAACCATCATGTTTCTTTCTTACATTAATTTTTTTCTATATCTTTTTCTCAGGAACAAGATCCGCTTGCATAAATGCTGCAACATTAGCCCTTGCAGATGCTGGCATTCCAATGCGTGATCTTGTTACTTCATGTAGTGCTGGATATCTAAACAGCACTGCCCTTCTTGGTAATTAATTATTAATATTTTAATTATCCTTTTTTTCCATGGTGATTATCATATAATCATGGTTGAAATTTGTAATTTGTAATTTGAAATGAACAGATTTGAATTATGTTGAAGATAGTGCTGGTGGCCCTGATGTTACTGTGGGAATTTTACCAAAGTTAGATAAAGTTACTCTTCTTCAGGTGATTCATTCATGAACAGTTTGTAAAAGTTAATAAAGTTTTGATGAAATTTTAAATGTTTAGTTTTTTTTTTTTTGTTTTTGGTAGATGGATGCAAAGTTGCCAATGGATATTTTTGAAAATGTGATGCAATTGGCTACAGAAGGATGTAAAGCAGTGGCAAATTATATCCGAGAAGTAAGAATCTTGATGAAACTATCATTTTTCATTTATATTTATTCTTTTTTTTTTCATTGTTATTGGATTTAATGATTTATGGTGTTTAATGATATGATTTACAGGTGTTGATAGAGAACACAAAACAACTAGAAAATCGGCGTGGAGTATGAAAGATAATAGATATCAAGTTATGAATTTTGTAAAAGTTGAAGCTTTTTTTTTTTTTTTTTTTTCTGAAAAGTATTTTGTAACGTGTTAGAATTCAAGATATTTCCATTAAAAAACCAAAAGATATTCATATACCAAGATGAAGATTAAAATTCAAAGATTCAACTTAGAAATCCTAATCAAGAAAGCCAACTTTTTAGCGTACTTTATAACACATATGATAGAACACAAGATGCTAATATGCAAATCTAATAGATAAAAAGATAAAAATATCTTAATTAAAATTAGAAAAGTCGCTGCAAAAAGTTGAAGGAATAACAAGAATCTCCAAACGACCCATCCATTCTTCTCCTGCTTTCAAAGTAATTGGTTTCTCAATTACAGCTCCATCAACACAAACCATCTGTTTGTATTCTTCATCTCCTAAATCTGCCATTGCTTTTGATTTTTTCTCCCATGGATTCCACACCACTACACACACACACACACTCAAATTAATGAAGACAATTAGTCAAAATCCATAATCATAAGCAATCTTACCAACATCTGGAAGGCCTTCTTTTCTTAGCACATATGTCCGCTTCCTTTCATGATCAAGTACAGCAATGCAATTTGGCGAACTCAGATACACGCGTTCAAACTGAAACGCCACAACGGAATGGAATGGGTGATTACATTCCATTATTATGTTTGGTTGACTTGGAGTTGCAGATTATGTAAATTAAAGTGATTTTAAAAATATAATGTGTCACTCCATTCATGATCAAAGACATAATTTCTTTTTCCTTCCTCCATGGAATGAAAATCAACCAAAGAGAAGGAATCACATTGTGTGAGGAATGCTCTATTCCATTCCTATGTGACAAACAAACATGATCAAATCCAAGATTTACCTCGGATTCAAAGGTAATGGCATCTCCTTGTTCAGTAAACCGTTCTCTTTCACAAAGGTTGTCAAAGTAATCCATTGTTTCTAAGCCTTCTACCCTCACTTCACTGTCAATCAAGAAATCGATCATAATCAAATTCAACTTTGGTACGACGGAATCAGGGCAGGAATGGAATGGGTGATTCCGTTGGGGTGAAAAACAATCTATTTGTTTTGTCTGATGGAATGGAACGGACCATTCATATGAAAAACCATTTCGTTACCACGTACAAGCTAACCAAACATGATAATGAAATGGAATGGAATGGAATGACTCATTCCATTCCCTTCCTTATTCCATTCCATCCAACCAAACAGACATTAAAATCTTTACATACCTTATGTCGGAAACAGATAGATATGAGTGATAAGCAAATGAGAAACTAAACGGCTTCCCATTCATGTTCCTCACACGCGATATCAAGCTCAGATTCCCATCCATTCCAAGGCAAACTCTAAGCCGAAGTTCAAAGCTGAAAAAACATCATCTCAATACAATTTTAACCTTAAAACAAAAAGAAGAAGAAAGTTTACTTCATTATTTAGTTTACAATGATAGAGCCCAAAGTAAATAAAACCTGTGAGGCCAAGATTTGAGATCTTCTTCAGATGGTTTTAGTAGCAAATCAACAAACGATTTCCCATTTGAATCATTTGTGGGAAGAGGTGGAGGATCTTCATCAACAACCCAAATTTTGTTTCTTGCAAATCCATGTTGCTCAAGTGATCCACAGTTTCCAAACTGCATAATCCACTTAAAAAATTTCATCATCTTTTTAACCCCAAATCACTCGGGTTTTCACAAGATTCATCGATTCATATACCTGAGGAAAACAGATTGGAATACCCCCTCTCATTGCTTTTGGAGCCTTCACATTCACCTGAATTTCCTCAAAAAAAAACAAGATTAATAATTCTATCAAGATCTTGCAAAAAAACATAAATTGGGAGAGGGAAGGACCTTAGTACTAGAAAACAGGAGTTCTTGGCCTTGATCATTCTGCCATGAAATGACATGGCCACCCTGCAAGCTGACCTGGCACAATGAATTTGTATGATTCGGTAAAAATTTCTAAACTTTTTCATCCAAAAGAAGAACAAAATCACTTCATTGATATGATCAAGAATTAATGGAAACAAGGATTATAAAACGGATCAAACCCTAGCCGAAGCGCCTTGTGGATTCCGAAGTACGATTTGATCGATTCCATTCCAGTCTTTGACTCTTTCAATTGCAAGCTTGGAATCCCAGATTGCTGCAGAATGCCCCATTTTTCTCTGAAATCCCACAAATTCTAGACTCTTGTTTCTTTACAAACCCTAATTACACGTTTTGCGCATGATAAATGTCAACATCATTCGAGAGGTGATGACAAGTGTCAAGCGAGTTTGAAGTTTGAACAATAATTCATGTCATCTTTCTTGTGAATAAAAGGACACCCTTGTAATCTTGTGAACAATCTTTAAAATCCCCAACTACTTAATTCAATTCAATTCAATTCTTTCCCAATCCAGCCCTCCTCATACTTCAACAAATTACTTTCTAAATTTGGAAAGGTGTAGGTACACCAGTAGCAAGCTGCAGATTTGAACTCCTACCAAAAATGCAAGAAAAGGATCCAACGAAATTAATCAAATGCAGACAAGACTTCCATGAATAGAATCTTTTTTGAACAAAAACCAATTTCTTGAATCGAAATCTGAATGAATCCCGACAAAAACATACATGCATTCCAATTTCCATAATTACCATATCAAGAACTCCTAAATTCCGTAAATTTTCAAATCCAATATGTCATCAAGATCATTGCGATACAGTGAAAGTAACATAATCGAGAGAGTATTTATTTAAAAGTTCCAAAATATAGAAGTTCTAATTATGGAAAGGTAATAATAAAGAAAGAAAAATTCAAATCGAAACAAAACCCCATTTAAGGAATCAAAGAGCAATTAATGATCATATAAGGCGATGCATTCAGAATTAAGAAAGAGAGAGGAAGATAGAAGCGTTCACTTACATTGCTTGGTGGAAGATGTGAAAACTGTTTTGAGGAAAAGAGCTTCAATTGGAAATTGAGTAAAGTTTGGTACTTTTTTAGTTCTGGGTTTCTAAAATTGTGCAAAATCAAGATGGGTCAAGATTTGAAAATGACAAAAAGGGGAAAGATTCAGAGATTCTATATTTTATTTGAACTTTTTTGAGGGCCAAAATGTTTGCAATTTGTTGAGGAAAACAGGACGATGAAGCTGGCAGTGATGACATAGCGACTTTATGGACCCCAGAGACATTTTCAAGGTGGTAATATATACATAAATAATAGACTAAAGTACAGAACAGTCCCTGAGTTTCGAAATATTTTAAGTTATGGTACTTCAACTTTCAGTTTTACAATTTTAGGGAACATTTTTTGCGGTGTTAAATATCATCCATCAAGTAGTTCATGTGTTTCATATGGGGTATTTTCGTCTTTTCCTTAAAATTACACGGCAGGGGCATGACTCCTTTGACCCCTGTCATTTGTCGTTTCAAGATCTAACCGATCTTATATGAGTGTGTATTCTATACTGCTTAACTTGTTTTAGTATACAGTTTATAATCCTCTTTAGCATTCGTATTAATTTCAATTACACTTAAATATCTACCGACAATGTCATCACAAACATTGAATGTTTTGGACGATGGTTATTTGGAACCTCTGTTTTTAGCATGTAACTAAGGAACGAAACTTTTGTTTAATATATATGGTTAATGTAATATAAAAAGGAAAAATGACACAAATGCCCTACAAACTTTCTAGGGTTTACCGTTGAGTTTCTAAAGTTTTTGTCGAGATTTATGGGTCCCTAAACTACTATATGATCTGCTCTTTTAATCCTTGTCAACCTGTAATAGCCGGTTCAGTGACCTTTTAGACCCAAAAAACTCACATTGTGCCCCTATAAAACCAAAAAATAAGTTCGGGGATCAATACGAATTAAGTGTGAACTGGCTTTAGAAGAAAATGAGAGGTTTTTTTTGTAGGAATTGATGCCCAAACGTTTTTTTTTTTTTTTTTTTTTTATAGGGTCACAATGTGAGTGTTTTTGTCTAAAAGGTTGTTGAACCAGCTATTACAGGTTGACATGGACTAAAAGAGCAGATCATATCTTAATTTAAGGACTCATAAAACCCGACAAAAACTTTAAGAACTCAACGAATAAATCCTAAAAAGTTTGTAGAGAATTTATGTCATCTTCCCTATAAAAAAAATTCTTACGTTAGATACAAGTGAATCTAGTGTATCATATTGGCAATTGAGATAATACCTTTACACCTTTAACTTCAACTATATGTCAACATAATGAAGAATTCATTATATTTGGCAAATATATATAAAAGTTTCCTTGATATGTCATAAAATTCAACACTTACATTGGAGAAAATGGAAGTCATCTATTTGGGATAAAACGGAATAATCAAATTACACCATTTAACCACTGTAATCTAGAATACATAAATTAAACCAACCACCAAAAAACCCAACCACAGACCAACAAAAACTTCAAGTTTTGAACTTTTGTCCAGTTATCTAGAATGAAAGGCAGCTTCGATCTTGTACCTTCACCTCAACAATTCATGTATAATTTCAACTAAACAAGGACATGTGTCGGGATCAACCCATCCCATTAACGGACGATTAGAAAACTGAAAATTTGATTAAATAAAAGAATAGTAAATTTGTGAAATGACCAAAAAAGGGGTGCAGGGGTGTTTGGAAAAAATAACCATGAAAATGGAACTTTCATAAAATGACCACGATTTTCGTAGAGGGTCTTTGTGGAAGTCGTTAAGCTCTGAGGAATTGGACACGTGGGGACAAAGACAAAAAATTAGGTTTGAGAAATGGTTATGCAGAGAAGGTCTCTATGGAAATGTTGAATGTTCTGCGGAAATAGTGAATGCTCTGCGGAACCGGTAGCTGAAAGTACTAAATTACGGTAGCTGAAAGTACTAAATTACATCCGATATTTCCGCAGAGAGCACTGAGGATCAGAGCAACCCTCTGCGGATTTGTTCTTCACGGGCCTGTGAGGAAGTGTTCTTCACTAAACAATGGTTACAATCGATATTGGTTGTTAATTTAACGACGTTTCACCCTTATTTATCACATATCATTGATTCAATATAACCATTTAAGCTAACAATGGTTAAAATCGATCGATGCCGACAAAGCTTTCCGATCAATTAAGAGTCTGTTTCTTCTTCTTCTGCAACAAAGCCCTTCGAATCTGCATTGCAATTTGTTATTCTTTTATATGGTTTTAATATTTTACACATGTCATGTCACTTCCTCAGCGAGAAAACCCTTCCGCGGAGGATAAAGGTGTTCCACAGAGCCCCTCTCCGCGGACATTGGCGAATGTACATATAACCAAGGGGGGTCACTTAACCCGCCAATTTTTTTCATATATATAACAAGTTATGTATTATTACATTTGTGACCTATCTTAGATAAATCTAGTGAACTACCATAATATCTTTGGCAGGAAAAAATCAAAAGCAACTCATATTCTATGTTTTAATAGGTCAAATTCTTTAAAGTATAATCCAATATGAATAGTCCACTACAAGTTATATTAAAAAAAAAAAAAAAAAGTAAAAACGTACAATAATCGTTAATCACTTTTCAGTCTCAACGTCGTTTCCTTCTTCAAGCCTCAATTCCCGCTACACAATCGTCGATCGCTATCCGGTGGACTACATCACAATTGACGATCAACCGATCAGGTGTGTTGGTTGTCATTTGCCACTTGCCACTTGTCACCGCTGACAGCTTCCCCTCCGCTACTGCGTCTCGTAGTCGCCCACTCCCACTCTTTCCTTATCAACCTTTTTGTTAGATACAATTGTAATAACTTTAAAAAAAAATTGTTTATGCGATCCGATCCAAACCAGCAGTTAGTATTTTTGAATTTTTTTTTTCCAATTTTTATCGATTTTATTTAAATAGTAAACCATGTGGATATAGATTCTAGACTCACCACTTTCTGCAAAAACCTTAGTCATTTAATGAAAATGCCATTTTCTTGGGGTTTTTTTTTTCAAACACCCCATCTTTTTTTGGTCGTTTCACAAATTTTCCCAAAGAAACTTGAAATCGATATTAGGTAAATCAACATGTATAATTATCGAACCTTGTTTTAGCATGAGTAGAAATAACGACTATGGTTTCTATTACTCCAAGACATGTGAATTATTGATGCTCTTCCGAGATCCAAATCATCATTATTCATTGGAGATTCTTATTCATTGGAGATTCGACAAGTATGGAACCAATAAATATTAGAATAATAGTTGCATGCATGTATGTGATAAAAGAAGACCATCCAAGTACGACCAAAATTGAAAAATTAAAAGTATAGGTCCAAAACTTATAAAGTTTTACATAATTCAGGTATCATTCTTGTAATTTACTCTAAAAAAAATATGAAGTCAAATTCAAAATGAATTCTACCCATAACTTGAAAGGATTAGGTAGCTTTTAGTTCATTGTTTATTTTGTGTACACCAATACTTCAAGAGAATTTTCCATTTTTTGACTAATATTATGTTAAGTTATTATACAGTTTAAAGAATTTACATTTCTACATTACAGGTGAGCATAAAACGTCCGATTACAACGTTTATATGATAACCCGTAAAAATGCTAGTCTGTTTAAACATCCTAACAATATATTTTAATTAAATCAAAATGACAGTCTTAACAAAAATGAATTCAAATTTCAAAATTCGAAAAAGACCACTTGGATTTAAATTAATAAACATATTGTCCGCCTCAGAGTTCAAAGCTCATTAAAATAGTTTTACATTGAATTGCTCGAATATAAGTAATAATCTTAAAGAAATGAAGAGAGCAAATAGAAATGAGTATATTTTGGTATGTGGGATCCTCTCGTATGGGTTGATGTTCTTTTGTCGCATCAAAATTATATTATCATTTTCTTTAGTTTTTTTTTCAAGTCACAACAATAATAGTTAAATGACACAATTGTTACAAATCAAGTCAACAACGAGATAAATATCTATTACATTATTGAAATTAACATAAATGTAACAAACCAAACAACATAATTTTTACTTGATACAAACGTGGATTAGAAAATCATGTAGATGTATGTCAATAACTCAATATAATATTTTAAGACAAAATTTTGATATTTTAGAGGCTATTTGATATGGTTTTTACTGATTCTGATAAGATGTTGAGTCAGACTCGATTAAATTCAAACTG